GGGCAATCCTACTTCTGTAGTGATACTGCCTCGGAAACCCAAGGAGGGGTCGCTATGAGTCGGGGCCGACTCGACGGCAAATAACAACAACAACAGAGGCATTTGAGGAGTTCTGGTGGTGAAGTGGTTAAGGCATTTAGCTGCTAACAACAAGGTCGGTGGTTCGAACCCACTAGCCATTTGGCTGGAGAACACTGTGAGCAATTTGCTTTTGTAAAGATTTGCAGCCTGGAAATCCTATGGAGGCAATTCTACTTTGTCTTATAGGGTCACTATGAACTGGAATCAACCAGATGGCAGTGGGTTTGGGTAGAGAAGTATTTATGTAAACTTGTGATGGAGGTAGCATGATAATAAGGAATTTGAGTTTGCTGGCTTCAGACCTGGATATTTCAGACAAATTACTTAATTCCTCTGAGCCTCAGTTTGTTCATCTGTATAACAGGAATAATAATACTGGCCAGGTAAATTGTTATGAAGAAATATCCATAGTCCAGTGAGTGGCATAGATGAGGAATCTGAACATTAGTTTCCTTCATTCTCTTATGGGACCTGACCCAGGATTTTGTGAGAGTCCAAGGTGCCCACATAATCATCAGCTTGATTCTTGATGATTAGCATTATTTTGCTCTGGCTGGTCCTGTTCTTACAACCAACACCTCTGACAAATGGACTTTCCCAAAGGATTTTAAGTGAGAAGTTTTAACTGCAGGACAGGTCTAATGTCACTTCTCTTACAATCAGTCTTCCACCCCCAAGGAAGCTGGCCTGGACTCTGTGCTGGTGTGAGCTGGCACCTGAACTGGAGGAGAGGATTGAGCTGGACTGTCATCCTGCTTGCTTCCTTCCCTGGCTCTGAGGTGGACCCTGGAATAACTCGCAGGCTTTGACGCTATAGCGAGAAGGAGACAGTCGGGTAGCATCTAATTGTGAGGTTTCATTCTGCCTCCCTGACTACCTGCCACCTTGTGCAGGTGAACGGGGGTGGGGTGGGGATGGAGACAACTCACTGCCATCAAGTCGATTAGACTTATAGCAACCCCTCCTTGGGTTTCTGAGGTGGTATCTCTACAGAAGTAGATTGACCAATCTTTCCTCCAAGGAGTAGCTGGTGGGTTTGAACCACCAGCCTTCTGGTTAGCAGTCAAATGCCTTAGGCACTACACTATCAGGGTTCCTATTGTAGCAGTGGTCCTAAGGATGACTATAAAACCCATATGGGCTCCTCTACCTCCTAGCTTCTATTGTGTATTACAATAATTTGTTTATTATAAGCCAACTGGGCAAGAACCATCCTTCATTCACTTTTTGGTACAGTGCCTGCCATGCCTTAATGCTCAATTAATAAAATTACAGTAATAAGCCTCCTGGCCTAGTGTTCTGGAAGCAGGGCTAGGCTGGCTGGTGCAGATTTCCTCAGAGCTGAGGCCTCCGGCAGAGGTCCAGGTGTGACTGGGTTGGTGGATGGAGGAGAGTAAGGTGGACATGAGGGTTATATGGAAGAGCACACAGAAAGGAGGAAGTTCAGAAGAGAATGGAGCAGGGATTCCAAGCCTTAGGAAAGCCTGGAGGTTTCAATAAACAGCTTCAACTATGAAGCCTGATGGTTGATTTTATTAGAACTCTGAGGCTGACCAGTCAGTTCTGTGCTTTTGGACAAATTCTTTAACCCTCCTTGTTGTTACTGGGTGTCATCTAGTCCATTCTGACTCATAGAACCCCATGTGACAGACTAGAATGACCCCACAGAGTTTTCTAGTCTGTAATCTTTACAGAAGGAACCCTGGTGGCACAGTAGTTTAGCACTCAAAAGGTCACAGTTCAAACCCACCAGCCACTCTGGGGGAGAAAGGTGTGGCAGTCTGCTTCTGTAAAAATTAACCCACAATCCAATGCAATCCAATCGACTCTGACTTGAAATGACTCTATAGAACATAGTAGAACTGCCCCCACAAGGTTTTCCAAGGCTGTAAATCTTTAGGGAAGGAGCTGTGGTAGCATAGTGCCTAAGGCACTTGACTGCTAACCAGAAGGCTGGCGGTTCAAACCCACCAGCCACTCCTCGGAAGGAAGGTTGGGCAATCCTACTTCCGTAGTGACACTGCCTCGGAAACCCAAGGAGGGGTCGCTATGAGTCCAGGCTGACTCGATGGCAAATAACAACAACAACAACAAATCTTTACGGAAGCAGACTGCCTCATCTTTCTCCAGTGGAGTGGCTGGATGACCTGAACCACAGATCTTTCCGTTGGGAGCCCAGTGTTTTAACCACAGCATCACTAGAGCTCCTTTTTGTAAAGATTACAGCCTTAGAAACTCTATAGGGCAGTTCTAGGGTGTTCTACAGCGTCACTATGAGTCTGAATTGACTGGAGAGCAACGGATTAATTTTTACAGAAGCAGATACCAGTTCTTTCCCCCCCAGAACGGCAAGTACGGTAACAGTCACTTAACCATCAAGGCTCCTTTGAACCCATATTATGTCCATATTCTCTCTTTAAACCCATATATAGTGTCCATATTCTCTCAAAACTGGGCTACAGAACAGAACGTAGAGCATATATTGTAAAGATAAAATAAAGTAACTTGACTCTCAATACATGCCAATTTCCTCCCAACTCTAACCTTACCTAAGCATAGTTCAACCTGAAAATCTTCATCTGTCAACTCATATACTGAGGGCCTACCACACTTTGGGAGCTCCGGTAACATAGTGCCTAAGGCACTTGACTGCTAACCAGAGGACTGGCGGTTCAAACCCACCAGCCACTCCTTGGAAGGAAGGTTGGGCAATCTACTTCCATAGTGATACTGCCTCGGAAACCCAAGGAGGGGTCGCTGTGAGTCGGTGGATCGCTATGAGTTGAGGCCAACTCCACGGCACATAACAACCACCACAACCACACTTTACATAGGTTTAGAATTCTGCTCTGCTGAATTTTAACGTGGAGTGTCGAATCTACCGTGGGGAGCAAAAGTAGGTCAGGATCGCGTTATATCTGGGAAATCGAGGGTGGTCATAACCCTCAGACACAAATGCCTGGCGACCCTTAGTTAACCAGGTATGAAGGTCTCCGCCCCGAAAGGCAGATTTTTTTTTTTTTCTCCAGGGATGTAGGGGGCTGGAGCTGACTCTGTGTCAAAGGAGGCTCCCTCAATGCTCTCTGAAACAACACTGACTGGAAGGCTCCGGTGCGCTTGTCAGGGGCGGAGCAGAGAATGGGGCGCGTGGGGTGGGAATGGAGGGGCGTCTTTGCGGCTTCCCGCAGGAGGGGCATGGGGGCTGCTTGGCTATGCAGCCCTCTCCTCAACGTATCCCCGCGGCGCCGCGGCCGGCAGGTGGCACCACGGGCCTGGGGCCTGGAGCTGCGAGCAGGAGAGGTGCAGGAAGGGGTTAAATAGTTGGTGGAGCCGCAGTCGCGGCTCTTCAGGGAAACCCACCCGGGTGTGCAGAGGAGGGAGCGGCCGTGGGCTGCGGAGCCCGGCGCCGCGACGAGTGGGGGCGCGTCCAATCCGGCGGCGGGCCTGGAGCGAGCCGAGCAAGGCAACATGGAGGGAGGCGCGGCGCCCGGCCGCCCCTGACGCCCGCTTTTGGTCCTCGTCGTTCGCGGCGGCGGCGCCAGCCGGAGCTCGATCTGAGGGGCCGCGCCTCGCCTGCCCGGGTCCCTGCGGCGCGGAGATGAGCAGGTCCGCGGCGTTCCTGCTCTGCTTGCTGGGCTGCAACGTCTGGAAGGCAGTGACCAAAACGCTGCGGGAGCCCAGCGCTGGAGCCCAAGGTCGGTGGGTGGCGGCGGCGGCGAGGACCTGGCGGGAGCAAGGACCGGGGCCGATGGGCTTTGTGTCTGCGAGGGGCCTGCCGCAGAGGAGGCGGCGGCGGGCGACCGCCCTGGCAGGGGAGGGTTTCGGGCCGCATTGTGTAGGCGGCCGCAGGAGCCGCAGCCGCCGGGCCTGCAGCCCCCGCGCCGCACTCTGGAGGGGGCGGCGCCGCCCTGGACGCCGAGGTGCCCGGGGCAGATGCTCCTGATGGGCTGTGGGCTATCGAGGGGGTTGGGGATGAGATTGGTGGCACCAGCTGTTGTTGCAGCTTCTGGTGTCTCGTTGGGATGCATCCGATGGCCTTTTCCTTTATGCAGTGACAGGGACACGCGGCTCCACCGCCTTCACCTTGGCTAGAGGGGCCGCCAAGGGGTCGCCTCTGCCCACTCCCCGCTCTGGGCTCAGGTCCAAGGAGCCAAAGCCCTAAGGCTGTGCTCGACACTTTTGTTGTGGCAGGCGTGCGAGGGGGCAGCCGCCGCCCCTGGGGTGACCCCTGAGCCCCGGGACCGCCTGGGTGAAGCGCTGGCCCCGAGGTCTGCGGCTGGTAGCCGCTGCCAGCCTGCCTGTCGCAGTTTGCGAAAGTTTTGGGGTCCACCCCCGAATCCGACCTGTTTTCCAGACCTGAGATATTTGCCTAGCGGCCCCTGAATAATTCCTGGAAAGGGAGAAAGAATTAGAAGTGGGGGGCCTTAATCAGTAAGGGCGAAAAAAATCATTTTCAGGTCTGTAAGTCGCCAGCTCATGCCTTTTGTCTAATCTTTGGATCTGCAAATCACTTCTCAGCCCTTGGAGGAATGTGGTCGCCGCTCAGAGTGGCCAGGAGCCTGTCTTTTGTTTTTAAAATCAAGGTTTATTTTGGGGGAACCCCGAGGCTTCCCGTGCACGCTTTTATGAGGACACAGAATCTAGTGTTTCTCTGGAGACTGTCTTCAAAAGGGTGACTGAGCTGCTGCAGATAACTGTCTGCATCTGCCACTGTACCTCTGCCGAGGATCGCTCTCCAATCTCTGTTCTTTCCTGTGGGTTGTTGCATTAGGGAGTTTCTCTGCAGTCCTGTAGACCCCAGAGGTCCTTGTTGGTGGTCTTTGAGCACGGTCTATGTCCTGTAAGTCTGTCTTACAAACCGAATGAGTGAGGAGCACTCCATCCCAGCGTCCCTTTGCTTGGATACAGCCTTACTCCCTTCCTTGATGCCAACCCTTATCACTGTGACAATATTCAGAGTGCTAGGTGCCTGGGCAGAGAAGCCTGGCCTTCCACCCTCTGATGTTATGACAGAGAGGGGAAGTTCGGCCAACAAGCTGTTGGGTTTAGCTTGTTACCTTCATTTTGAGTTAAAGGTTTTCAAATCCATCACTTGTTGGCATTCTTCATGACCACTATGAATTGCATATTAATTTAGTGCTGTATGCTATGGAAGGAAAACATTGACCAAGTTAAAAAAAAAAAAAAAAACATGTATGCCTCTTAACGTAGGAACAAATGTGTAGGATGTTAGATCATCTGTGTTGAATGGTAGCCTCTTTCATTAATATCTCCTTTGATTTCACCTATTTCAGTAAATAGAATTTTTGCATTAAACCAAGGCCATTCATTCCAAGGAACCGGTTGAATTTTTTTTTTTTTTTTTTTTGCACTTGAAACAGCAATATATAGAAAAATTAAGTTCATTCACTTATAAACTAGGGGAAGAAGTAGCTTCAGTTAAAAAACAAAAAGTCATAAAGAACCTACTAAGTTTAGGTCTAAGATCACATTTTGCAGAACTTTAGAAGCTAAAATATCAGGTCAGGTGACTAAACTTTCAGAAATGGAATACTCCATGAAATGAATGAGAAATGGGCAACCTGTGAGGATACTTATGCCATGGCTAGGGATATCCTGGGAGTCCTTGGGTGGTGCAAATGATTAAGTTCTGGAGTACTAATGGAAACTTTGGCGGTTCATATCCATCCAGAGGCACCTCAAAAGTAAGTCCTGGAGATCTGCTTCCAAAAGGGTACCCTATGGAGTAGTTCTAATCTGCTCACCTGGGGTCACCATGAATCGGAATTGACTCAAAGGCAACTAACAAGAAGGAGTAGGTCGGTGTAGGGAATGGTTTGAGTGGAAGATAAAATGCCTTGGAATATTTTGTGTCTCCTGTCCCCCAGATTACTTCTTTGATTTTTTGTTTATGATAAGGATGACTTCTTAAAGAGCTGAGCTCCAGAGCTCTATCAGAAGTTAGGGTCTTACAGGTTTGCTGGTCCAATAGAGCCTGGTGGAACCACTGAGACTATGACCCCTAGCTGCCCGTCAGGTCTGGAAGTGAACCCACACCTGTGGCTTCCAGCCAAACAAAAGACAGGCATATGAGTTGAACATTTACCTGAGGTAGATACACTCCTTGGAGAGAACAATTGTGGGAGAAAGAAGGGCTAATTATGCACAGGGAGACAGCTCAGGGGGCAGGAGTGCATGGAGGGATAGATACAGGGAAGAGGTAACTATCAGGAGGAAGTAGGAGGGGAGCTGTTGCATTGTGGTAAACTGTGGTCAATGTCATGAGATAAAGTGTATGTGAACTGCTGCATGGGAAGTGAATTTGTTCTGTAAATCTTCACCCAAATCACAATTAAAAAAAAAAAAAGAAGTTAGAGTCTTACTATGTAGCATCCAGATTTTAAGCTATTACCATTTCTTGTTGTTGTTATGTGCCGTCGAGTTGGCTCCGACTCATAGAGTTTCTGAGGCGGTATCACTACAGAAGTAGGATTGCCCAACCTTCCTTCCGAGGAGTGGCTGGTGGATTTGAACTGCACCTAACCACCACCACTTTTAAGGGATTGGAGATTTTCTCTTTTGACATTTAAAAATCACTTTCAACCTACTGAGTTCTTCAAACCCTTTTGACAATCATCACTCTGTATCTTATAACATAGTTGTTTAATTCATGGCTTCTTTACTGTTTTGGATTTTGTACAGAATGAAGACAAATGCTATCTGTGATTTAACTTTGCATTTTCCACAGCTCTTTGTAGTTTGCTTAGGAGCTCTGGTAGAATAGTGCCTAAGGCATTTGACTGCTAACCAGAAGGCTATTGGTTCATACCCACCAGCCACTCCTCGGAAGGAAGGTTGCACAATCTACTTCCATAGTGATATCGCCTCGGAAACCCAAGGAGGGGTCACTATGAGTTGGGTTCGACTCGACCACAGTAAGGTTTGGTTTTTGGTGTGTAGATTGCTTTATGCATAGTTGGTTCTCAGGTCATGTTGAATGAGTGAAGAGTTGAAGACATCAAATACATATAAAACAGAAACCAAACCTGTTGCCATGGAGTCGATTCTGACTGATAGCAACCCTATGTGTTACATAGTACAACTGTTCCATTGGAGTTTCTCTGCTATAATTTTTGTGGAAACAGATCTCCAGACCTTTCTTTCGTGGTGCTGCTGGGTGCTTTTGAACCTTTAGTTTAGGAGCCAGGAGCAAACCGTTTCTGCCATCTAGTAACCTTAACCCTGTGGGGCATTTTCTATCCTGTCCTGTAGAGTCACTGTGAGTCAGAGAATTGACTTGATGGCAGTGAGCTACTGATCTTATACTATCTACTATGTACGTAAACTCTGGTAGCATAGTGCCTAAGGCACTTGACTGCTAACCAGAAGGCTGGCAGTTCAAACCCTCCAGCCACTCCTTGGAAGGAAGATGGAGCAATCTACTTCCATAGTGATATGCCTCGGAAGCCCAAGAGGGGTCGCTATGAGTCGGGTCCGACTCCACGGCACATAACAACAGCAGCAACAAATGTACATATACATATAAGATGTCTAAGGAGCTCTGATAGCACAGTGCTTAAGGCATCTGACTGCTAACCCGAAGGTTGATGGTTCAAACCCACCAGCCACTCTGCAGAAGGAAGACTGGGTGTGGTAGTTATGTTTGTGTAAACTTGACTGGGCCTGGTTGAGTGGCTGGGCAGCTGGTGGTAGTTATTCCCCATGATGAGACTGGCAATCAACTCCATGGTGGGATCTACCACAAGCAGCTGAGTAGCTGCCTTTGGAATGTGGTCTGCTTCCTGTAAATAAGGAGAAGCCTTGGGAATGGTCTCTAGCCTATGGTATGCTTGGACCCTGCATGTAGCCATGTCATTGCTCAGCAGCCTGCTGTGCTCTGCCGACCTTGGGTCTTACAATGGACTTAATGGCCTGCCCTGTGTTTTGGTAACATCAGGACTGTGCCTTTTTACTTGTCAACCTTGGGCTTGGCAGCCTCAGCAGCCAGCAGCTGTCTGAGTGATGAAATGCCTCTAGCTCCAGTGGGCCAGGAGCAGGAGGCAGAGCTGCACCCAAAGGTTGAGGGGCTTTCACTCAGCCCCTAGAACCTGTCACTTTGAACTTGGACTTCTAGCCTCCTGAACTGTAAGAGAATAAACTTCTGTTTGTTTAAGCCATCCCATTTGTGGTATATTCATGTCAGAGTGGCACCAGGTAACCACAATACTGGGCAATCTAATTTTGTTAAGATTTACTGCCTTGGAAACCCAAAGGGGCTCACTGTGAGTCTGAATCGAGTTGATAGCTTTTTTTTTTTTTTTTTTTTAATAAGACATCTAATACATATACTATACTATGTACATATATTAGGGAGCTCTGGTAGTGTAGTGCCTAAGGCACTTGACTGCTAATCAGAAGGCTGGCGGTTCAAACCCACCAGCCACTCCTTGGAAGGCAGATGGGGCAATCTACTTCTGTAGTGATACTGCCTTGGAAACCCAAAGAGGGGTTGCTGTGAGTTGGGTCCAACTTGACGGCACATAACAACAACAACAACAACATGTACATATATTACATAATACATATTCTATACATATATTACAGTGTAACCTGTGATCATTGGTGTGTATTTTAAGAAGAAATGTTTAGTGTTGACCTTCTCTGAAACCTCATTTCTAAGAGTTTTGCTTTTACT